TGGCTCTTTGGCAGGAACCTCCTATGGAAACTGCAGGATTAAGGCGGAGCTGTGACCAAGCAACGGGACTGATGAAACTCTGCCGTGCGATGCCAGAGAGAAAGCTGTTTCTAGGAAAATGCCTTTCTTTAAAACAGTTTTCTTATTTTTAAAGAAACCAAAGACCCAAGGCAAAGAAAAGGTTTGTAGTCCATGCATACACCACTGATGTGAAATGGGGACCCAGGGTAGACGTGGATGGATGACTAAAGTCTGACACGCTTCCATTGTTGAAACTGAAGGTTGTCTGCAAATCATTTTAGGGCCTTTGCCTACCTCATCTGCTGTTCGCCTTTAGAAACTTTGCTGCTCGACCTCAAGTCTAGTTTATTTGATCCTCTCACTTTGGTACAAGATTTCTGGTTGGAGAAAATGAAATGTACCTGAAATTCATTTCCAGGCTACCTTTCTATTTCACTCCCCCACTTCTCCAAGGTGTTCCTTGGCTTTCCTCTCGAGCAGACTTTTATTACACTGAAGATCAGTCTGCACAGGGTGACTCAAGAAGACCTCAATTTTTCAGGGTGGGAAATTTGCTCAACAGGCCCTCAGGGAAGGTGACGAGTGCAACCCGCTCAGGACCCTTCTAGTGGCTGCTACCCCAGCTGTTCGCTTTAGATATTAAACTTCCTTCCCAAGCTTTGTCAACGTAGAGCTCTCCGACCACTGAGCTGGGGGGCCGTGCTGGGTGTCTGCTGCAGACGGACAGGCTCCCTGTGCTTGTGGCAGTGGGTCTGGGAGGACCATGTCCTCTAGAGGAAAAGCACAGGGAAGAGGTACAGAGAGGTGAATTCAGACGATGGCATCTGAGTCTTGCCCTTTCTGGACTTTGGTTATATAAGCTATAAAAGGAAATTCTTTTTTGCTCAAGCTAGTCTGATTTGGATTTCCATCACTTGCAACCTGAATCATAACTATTAATAAAAACTTGTGTCTGAACCTAATTTCTCCTTAAATATGTAGTTATTTTACACACGCATGCCAAAGGAATTCTTTCGAATGACAAAAATTTATTTTGTAAATCAAATAGTCACAAATTGATTTTCTATGTCTATCCAAATTTTCAAGTATTAGACTTACTTGTAATTCACAAGTGTTATCATTATACAATTGGATGAAATTAACGACTGAAAAAGTTGTTCCAGGCAGAAGTTATTCTAGTTTTTCATGTTCAGTTTGAATTAGAAAAGCATATTAGTCACATAGAATTAAATATTTTTAGATAAACATATTATACCCATTCTATTAGATAATAAAATGTAATTGAATATTTGTTTAGGTAATCAAAGAGTTAAGAAATGATTTGGATTATAATCACAGGAATATAAGTGTAAATCTGTAGAAAGATAAATATTTTCCAAATAACATTCCAATAAATGGCTAAACATTCTTAAACATTTTATATACATAAAGAATAAATTATTTCTGGTTAACATGTTTTTGCTTTAGTGCCAAAAAGGGCACAACAAATGTGATAAAGTTTTCTAGACACCAGTTCTATAGTACTGTTTACATATCTGCTCAGAATGATGCAAAATTCTTAGAACATAGCATCCCAGGGTAGGGAGGAGAAATGCTGGCCAACATTGACATGGTTAGTGGACAGAGAGGCTGGGAAGGAGACTAGAAACAAGAGGGAAGATTATGTCACTACATACGGCTACAAAGGGAAACGCAGCATGGAATCTGAGACAGAGACGACCCAGGCACACAGAGACATGTTTGCAGCCACTCAGGATTTCTGTTTTTCAAGTGTTCAGATACAGATTCCAGCAAGACTTCTGGTTTGAGTCAAGCCTTTCAACTGAGGTGCTTGGCATGCTCAAGGGAAAAAATGAGTACATTCAGAGTTAGTTTTGGAAGACACTAAGCTAGAAAACCAGCTGAGAGAACAAAACCAATACAGACATACTGATAATCTGCATCAAAAAAAAAAAAAAAAAACACAAAAAAACAGAAATCAAAACTCGTGTTTCCAGTAAAGAACTGTACACACAAACAGGTTTTGCTTATTAATGGAGCAGGAGAGGAGTGGAATTGGAGTTTAGGCTCTTGCAAGAAAGATAAAGTGCAAGGGAGGAAGAGAATGAAGCAGGGACGCAGAGAAGCCCTCCAAGAATGAAGAGTGATTTGTGCATGGGAAGGAAATACAGATGTTCTGTCCACTGAGGCTCTGCTTCAGGCACTGGACATTCCCTCCCCCGTGCTTAGAGGGGCGTGTGTTCAGGATCCAGCTGTGGCTAATTTCCCCACGTGCTAGATGTAGGTTGCTGCCGTAAGTTTTGTCAGGCATCTTTCCCCTTCCCAGAGCTAATGCTCAATTTCGTAAGGCGATCTGAATCCTTACAAGCCAGGGTAGTGCAGGAAGTCTTAACCCTGTGTCTAGTCATGGCATGCTCACACCATCAAAAGGAGTTCATTGTTCCCAAGGCCAAAAAAAGCTGTTCTGTACTGCAACGAACTCTACAGCAAAATCAAAGGCCTGGACTAGGGACAGAATGTTGCACCCATTATCATCAGGAGGGATGACATGTGGGAATACTTTTAGCAGAAGAATGTCGCCCCACTGTATGTTACTTAAAAAATACTTCATCAGAATATAAGGGCACTTTACTGTTTTTAACCTATACGAGGTTAGCATTTACTTTGAAACATAATTGCATGCAGATATTTTTCCTCTTGGGGAGTCTTTATTTTGGAGGTGTGGCCTGATAAGGGTATCTGGGCTCCCTTCCCTTTCTCTAAGCTCTGACTAGCCAACGTTACACTGACAGCTCCAAGCGTGGCCTTAATGAGATGTCATTCACTTAGACTTTCCATGTCTAAGTTTTTTTTGGGGGGGCGGGGGTCTGAGACAGTCTCACCCTGTTGCCTAGGCTAGAGAGCCGTGGCATCAGCCTAGCTCACAGCAACCTCAAACTCCTGGGCTCAAGCGATCCTCCTGCTTCAGCCTTCCAAGTAGCTGGGACTACCGACATGCGCCACCATGCCCAGCTAATCTTTTCTATATATTTTTAGTTGTCTGGCTAACTTTTATTTTTTAGTAGAGACAGGGTCTCACTCTTGCTCAGGCTGGTCTGGAACTCCTGAGCTCAAACGATCCTCGTGCCTCAGCCTCCCAGAGTGCTAGGATTACAGGCATGAGCCACCGCACCTGGCCTCCATACCTAAGTTAACTGCTAGATGTGCATTCTGGGGGCTATTCTCTGAAAGGGGAGAATATATCAATAAAATATTTCATTAAGCAGTTAAAACAATTTTTGATCTACTTGAAAAAGACTGATATTTCACTTTGAAACTATCACTAATGCAAAAGTTTTCTAAAAAGGCAATAACTTACACTTTCCAAAATTTAGAAATGACTTTCAAAGGACAAAAGGTAATTTTATTTTTACCAATGTGGCTGGAAGAGTGACAATGGGTAATTTATTCTCCCAATCTGATCAAGAGATCTTCATGTGGTATTGGCCACTGTCTTAGACTGTGTGCATGTTTATGAGAAGACAGAAAAGTTTCTATCAATGTTGCTATTTCTAAAATGCTTATTTTTGCCTGCCCACATGTGTTATTTATCTATTTATTTACAGAGATTCATTCTGTTACCCAGGCTGGAGTGCTGTGGCCTAATCATAGCTCACTGCAACCTCGAACTCCTGGGCTCAAGTCATCCTCCTGTCTCAGCCTCCTGAGTAGCTGGTACTACAGGCATGAGCCACCACACCCAGCTATTTTTAATTTTTAAAGATGGGGTCTTGCTATGTTGCCCAGGCTGATCTTGAACTCCTGGCTTCAAGCAATCCTCCCAAAACCTCCTAAAGTGCTGGGATTACGGGCATGAACTACCATGCCTAGCATGCCAGTTACTTAAATAAGATGAGAATGTGCTTCTCCAAAATAACCCATTGTATCTAAGATTTGTTTTAAATATAGGTGTAATGTAGGTATGAGAATGTCTTCAACAACAAAATAAATCATTCTGGATTAGGATGTTGCCTGGCATGACAGTTCTCTAATTCTGAAAGCCTATAATTTGAGCTGATCATACACAAAGGCATATTCATTAATGGCATTAGTTTCATTTATAAAAAGTATACACACGATCTAAAAATCTATCTAGATATCCTACAGAAGGAAAGCTGAGTGCCCTCCTTGTATAAAAAGCAGGTGAGGGCTAGAAGGCAGCAGACTCTGTCCCACACTAAAGTAGGGTTCCATGCTGAGAATCAGCAAGTTTTCTAGGTAGGTACTGCCACAAGTGGAGTATTATTATAGTCCCCAAATCATGAGGGACAGGAAGATAGAAAAGAGGGAGCAATGAGGGTAAATCTAGCATTCTATGGGTAAAAGACAGACCCCAATATAATTGCGTTGCTTCAGTGGGCAGGAAAATTTTCTAGCTGGAAGGCACATTAAAAATAACCATAAGAGTAACTTAGGAAGACAATGGAAATCAAAGAAAAAAAAGACTTCCTTTAGGTGTGGAAGTACATCTGTCTTACTGACAAAACCAACTACAGTGGAAACGATACAGGCACTAACTGAAGTTAAGAACTGGGTCACACTGGGTAAAGAGAATCTGGTGCTCTTGGTTTAGTTTCAGTGATTCTTCAGCACTTATTAAAACCATTGTGCCCTTTACATGGAAACCCCAAATCCTCTACGTGTCAAAAGATTTGAAAGGGTAGAGAACGGTACAAATGTTTGCTGCTGGTATGCACCACAGGTTAGACCAGGTTCACTGTCCAGTTGAGGGGAGGCTTCAATGCACTGTCCACCAGCACTCAGTTATAAGGTCAGAAGGAGAAACGATGAAAGGAAAGACCATGGAATTCCTGACTTCTTTAGGAAGTGCATGTCCATAATTTGCATAAAAATAATATGCATTGTCAAAATCAGGGTTAAAATTTGAAAGAAGAGAAAAGGGACAATAATCTGGTATTCTTAAGGCAAAACAATAGAAATCTCTTTAAATAGATGCTTTATTATATCCACAGGCGATAAAATCCCAGAGCTACTGTTAGGCACGTAAATATAGAACCTGCAAGAAAGAAACAATTGAGAGTATTATTAGTTCTCTTAACAGTTACTTGAGGGAACATCTCTTTATTAAGAACACACACAGACACTCATGCACCTATCCACCCAGAAAATAAAGAAAACCTAAAAACTGAGATTGCTCACTGATATACCACATTCCACGAAACGCCAGCCTACGAAAGAAACAAACCCCCACACCTTGAAATCATCACCTTCAAAGGACAAATGTACCCAATACTCAAGAAAACTTTTCAATAAAAGTTTAGAATCACAAAAATTCTATGGTCACAAAGTATATGTACCATCCAGGGACATATATTTTAAAGTAAAGAGCAAAATTTCACTGTTTAAGTACTGCTGTAACTTTACAGTATTTGATTAATCCAAAATATTCAATCTAACTTGAAATAATGGCTAATTTGGCAGGGAGAGGGTACATGAATCTTCATTCCCTCTTTTGGCTCAAAAAAAGGGAATGAAGTTATTTTGCAAAAGCAAAAATAACTCTTTACAAGGAGTGTCGCCAATTCAAGGATGAAGATCAGAACTCTAACATCTTCCATTTTATCCATAAAATATTCTAGCTTGAATTTCACTCGAGTCCCAAATAACTATACTTCAATTACAGTATCTTATAAAATTTTACATCCTATCAATTATAAAGTTACATTCTTATTTTATTTACTACTAAAAAAGAAAAAAGCCAATTAAAGTATGATACACCATCTACAGGGAACTATAAGATGTATTCCAATTTCAGAGACGTTAAAAGATGAAAAAAAGCGTTAGAATCAATGAAATGCAGTATCTGTCTTTGAATTATTTTATAAATTTGATTTTCTTTTCCGATTGTTTTAAATACTTACATATAAAGCAGCTTACCTGCTAAGTATTTAATATTATCGAGCTTGTGCGACTCGAGCATGGTTTTGAGGCCGGCAACCTCAGTTTCTATCTTCCTGTCTGTTTGGGTGAGGGCCCGATCCTGCTGGGCATGCTTTTAAAACAGAGTCACAGCATTAGACTAGCGTGGGTGCCATGCCCTCTGCTCTCCCCTCAAGAACCTCCCGGCAGGATGCAGCCACAGGAAAACTAAGTAGGTCTACCTTAGTTACCCTCCTAAGTGGGTAAGACTAAGGAGGCCTGGGCCTCAGTCTTAGTTCTACTATCCTCATGCTATCCGAAACCTCTCTAGGCCTCAGTTTCCTTCTTTATGAAAAAAGGAAAAAAAAAAAAAATACCAGTGGCCTCGCCTTAACACAGGCTATTTAGAGAATCTAATGTGATGATTTATGTGAAAAAGCTTTTCTAAGCTATATGGTGCTCTATAAACGATAGAGCATTATAAAGCCAGTCTGTTCTCAATGCCAACGACTATGTCTCATCATTCTAAACCCGTCTTAGTGAAAGGTATACGGTAAACTCAAAAATGCTCTCAAGAAATGAATGGAGCCTTAGGTAATCTAAAAGCAGCAGTGCTTGTCATAATAACTATTTCTTGTCACATTTTAAAAAAGCTTTCTTCTCTCACAGTTCAAACAGCAAGTATTTCATTAATATGAGGCTTGGCTACCAAGGACTAATTTGTGTCCTTCTCCAAATACAATACAGTAGTAAAAGGAGATACATAATTAATCTCTAAAAGGCAATAAGTTTGGATCATAAAGGGGTTATATAATTGTATTAATGCATAAAAGCACTGGGAATGCTTTCACTAAAACTCCTAAGCAACTAAGTAGTTCCCTATGGCTTCCAATTCAGGCAAAGAATGAGGAAATGAAAGCCTGGATGAGTAGAAAAGTATTCCAGAGGAATATCTCAGTATTCCAAAATTCTCTCATGGAAGCCTCTTGTGAGTTTCAGAAGTCCCAGCTAATACAGTATGGAAAAGAAGTAATGCATGCCATAAATTAAAACTATAATAAGACATTTCCATTTCTTACTATTCTTCAATTACTGAGATTTAAAATTTTTAAATAAAATGTTCACTGAGAAAAATAAACTTTCATTAAGAAATTTTAAATCTTTTATTGCCGTTCACTAACGTAACAAATTATCTTTCATTATTTTTCATTAAGATAAGCAAGTATATTGCTAAGGGCAAAATCCTATGACACTCCACTTCTTGGAGCAGGGACCACAGCAGATACTTGCACACCCATGTTCATAGCAGCATTAGTCACAAAAGCCAAAAGATGGAAGCAACCCAAGCGCCCACTGACAGATGACTAAATAAAATCTGGTATATACACACAATAGAGTATTCGGCCTTAAAAAGAAAGGAAATCTTGTCATTTGCAATAACATGGATGAACCTTGAAGACGTTATGCTAAGTGAAAGAAGCCAGCCACAAAAAGACAAACGCTGTATGACTCTACTGATATGCAGTATCTACAATAGTAGAAATCATATATATAGAAAGTAGAATAGTGGTTTGCCAGGGGCCAGGGGTACAGGAAACCGGGAGTTAGTGTTTAAGAAATGCAGAGTTTCAATTTTGCAAAACTGAAAGAGTTCTGTGATGGATAGTAGTGATGGTTGCCAAAAAATGCAAATGCACTGAACTATATGCTTAAAAACAGTTAAGACGGTAATTTTTATGCTGTGTACACTTTAGCACAATTAAGAAAAATCCCATGACACTAACCCTGCATATACCTTCCTTTAATGCATCATTACAAATAACTATACATGGGATGAAGCAAAAATGAATAAAATAACAAAGAAAAGCCAAAGTCGCATTTCTTACCAATGCCATTATTTCTGTTCTTAATTCCAGCAGCTTCCTTTCATTCATTGAATACTGAAACAAACATGTAACATGGGTCAGATCCTGATCTATGCTCTCTCTTCTCCTTCTCTGGAGCCTTAAATATTCTGGTCTTAGTAAATCCTAGAATACGTAACACCAGAAAATCACCTATGGGATGGAATAGCCTACCTACCTCTTTCTTTATGTCTGTTATTTGACGTTTCTTATTTATACTCACCTACTCCTCCAATATCTGGTTTGCTTTCTGTCATCTGTTACCTCTCTGCTGTTTATCTCTTCGCTGTGTTGGATGTACCTAGGTTACTCCCATTATTATAATACGATAACATTCTCTGGGGTCAATTTAGAAGAATACTGAGTCAGATGCTTTTTTAGCTTTCAAAGAGTTAAAAATGGTGGTGATCCAACTCAATATAGGAGCTCTCCTATCATAACTACAAGCAAAACAGGTCACTACTTGAGGCTTAGACAAAAGAAAAGAAAGATATAAAGTTGGGGAAAAATAGCTGCAAGGCATATTATTCTGTGACAAAGACATTGTGTTATGATTATAAAACACAACTAAATACATAAATACAAAAAATACACTAAGTCATCATGTTGGTTTTAATAATAATTAAAAAAAAAAACTACTTGGGCATAGTCATAATCCAGTGTTACTAAAGGAAATGATTCTAGCCAGAATTAAAATATTTTGCCTTGGCTATTAATGGCTGTGAAAAGATTTAGTGCAGTTTTGTTGGCACTAAGATGAAAATCAGATACATCTCTTTAGTAGTGTGCATTAGGATATATATGCATGTATGTATTTTTAGAGACAGGCTCTCACTCTGTAGCCCAGGCTGGAGTGCAGTGGCATGATCACAGCTCACTGCAACCTCCAACTCCTAGGCTCCAGCAATCTTCCTCAGCCTCCCCAGTAGCTAGGACTACAGGTGTATACACCACGATGCCCGACTAATTTTTTATTTTTTGTGGAGACAGGGTCTTGTTATGTTGCCCAGGCTTGTCTCATACTCCTGGCCTCAAGTGATGCTCCTGACTTGGTCTCCCCAAAGTGCTGGGACTACAGATGTGAGCCTCTGTGCCCAGCTGGGCATTAGGATTTAATTGAGCAAATGCCAATCTGCAATTTATTTATTTAGCCAAATTTGGCAGTATGGGGGTTGTATACCAAATTTAGTGACACTAATGTTAATAAGTTCTGATAACCCACTCCCATCAGACCAACCTGCAATTTAAATGAAGAATTTTACAACCTAAGTTAACACTGCAATAGGAGAAAAAGTTAATGAAAGTATCTAGATACTTTCTAGCTATAAAATGTTCTCCTGGTACTAACGTGGGGATAAAGTATAAAAACAAAATTTCTTAGAAATAAATAAAGAAAAACAAAAACAAAAAAACCACCAGAAGCCCAAACTAAGGTCTAGTCACAAAACTAAAGAACAATGCTCTTTAAAAAAGTCAGGGTTTCAGACCAGGGGAGCACTACGCAACAGATGACCACTAGAGGGCGGCACGGAACTGGATTTTCCACACCTTTAAACTCTTGTCTTTATTACCTTGACATTGACTCAGCCCCAAGAGAAATAAGCCTGAATCTTGACATTGCTGTGATTTTTAAAATAACATCTATGCGGCTCCATCTCCCTACAATACAAAACAGTTTACATGCCATACTCTTTTTTTTTTTTTTAGACAGAGTCTCCCTCTGTTGCCCAGGCTAGAGTGCCATGGCATCAGCCTAGCTCACAGCAACCTCAAACTCCTGGGCTCAAGTGATCCTCCTGCCTCAGCCTCCCAGTAGCTGGGACTACAGGCTTGCACCACCATGCCCGGCTAATTTTTTTCTATTTTTAGTAGACATGGGGTCTCACTCTTGCTGAGGCTGATCTCAAACTCCTGACCTCAAGCGATCCTTCCACCTCAGCCTCACAGAGTGCTAGGATTACAGGCATGAGCCATCATGCCTGGCAGCCATACTTCTTTTGAAATTGGCTGTAAATATCACCAGAGATAATTTAATTTTTAATTTTATTATAACTTTACCAAGAGAATGAAAGTGTCAAATAACTTATCTTCATCAATGCATGTTATTAATACATATACACTAGCGGTGTAATATACTATCACTCTGTGCTTCAGAGTAATCCACATTTAGGCTTACCAAGAACAGCTCCTCAGCCATGTTAGTAAATCACATAAATTCAGTGGTTAGCAAATCACATAAACTCACTATGTTCATGTCCTATATTTTCCAATCTCCTAAATGTATTTCTTCCCAGCTTGGTTAGCTATAGGCAGTCATCTTCCTAAATCAGGTGAATTCAGAGTTTTTCCTAAGTACACAACTTATAAGGCAAAAGGTAACCAACCATAAGTAATATGCTTGTGGTCATTAAATATTTTAGTACTACTAGGTGATTTAATCTTTTTCAACACTTGTTGAAAAGTGTTATAAGACTAGAAAGAGGGGTGACATGGCCATAATTATTATTTGTGTATAACAAAGCTCAACTTAACTCTTGAAATCCAGTGGCAGTTCCAAAACACAATTAAGTTACTTGTTTGAGTTTATTACCCTTATTTATCATTATAGCATATTTTAACTGAAAAAAAATTGTGAAAAATGAGAAAACAATAAACAGTTGCAAGTACTTATTTTCTTTGTGTATTCAGTTTTGCGTTAGTCAAAATGCTCTATCTGCCCTATTTCTCATTAAGAATAAAAAAGGTATCTAGCTAATGTCACCAAATCTGAATAAGGTCTGAGCAAGAAGACAGAGAAACATCCACACAAGGTTAAAAATCATTAGAGGCAACCCAACACATATTTTTATTAAAACATTCAACTTCTCATTGCATTTAAAAGACACACACACACACACACGTATAATTTTTATTTATTTATTTATTTATTTTTTTGAGACAGAGTCTCGCTCTGTTGCTCAGGCTAGATAGAGTGCCATGGCATAATCAAAGCTCACAGCAACCTCAAACTCCTGGGCTCAAGCAATCCTGATTTAGCCTCTGAGTAGCTGGGACTACAGGTGTGTGCCACCACACTCAGCTAATTTATTTTATTTTTAGTTGTTCAGCTAATTTCTTTCTATTTTTAGTAGAGACAGAGTCTCACTCTTGCTGAGGCTGGTCTGCAACTCCTGACCTCAAGTAATCCTCCCGCCTCAGCCTCCCAGAGTGTTACAGTTATAGGTGTGAGCAATTACACCCGACTTAAATATGTTTCAATCTTGAATTTCATATTAATATTAATAATTTCATATTATTCAAGTCTGAGATAATCAACTTAACTTTTGAAAGATTAGGGCCTGTGGAGATTTAAGTCAGTATTAAATAGATCAAGATTGAGTATAATTTCTTTTCTTAATGTCTATGCATTAAATAATATCTAATCCTATAATCCAGTTTCAGAAACAAACAAAAAATTCAAATTCAATTTGACCAAGATTTTAATGTTACTTTTGAAAGTATCAAATTTATGCCCTAACCCAAAAATATAATCAAAGAAAAAACTAACACTCATAAACAGGTAAATATTTAACAATAGCTGTGACTTGTATATAAACTTCAACTTAATGGAGCATTCCATCCTGAAAAGAAATTAATACATCATCTATTTTTAAAAAAGGAACATACCAATTCTTTTACTCTGCTCTTTTCTAGATTGAAGTCTAACTTGGTATCTGTTCGGACTTTGATCACTTCATCCTAGTAGGAAGGCAAACAACAGAGAGAGAGAGAGAGAAACCCAAAGTAAGAAATGCAGCCTTGAAGCCAGGGGTCCCCGCCTCTGCTCTAAGGAGCTAGCCAGGGAGGGGCTTGGCCAAAGGCATCCAGGAAAGGCCTAACCACAGGAGACCTCTCTGGTCAAGCCACGCCTGCAGTCAGCCTTGTCTTAGGACTTCCCACTTACATATACAAATAATCCCTTTTTACACTTAAACCAGTCTAGAGTAGGTTATTGTTGCTTTTAACCTCAAGAGTCCCATATAATCTCTTTGTGGAAGTTATGAATAAAGCTGTTCCAGACAACTGTGGAAAACAAAGATGAACTCAAACCAAAATATCAAATTCTAGTTTCAATAAAGTCTTTTTTTCTCTGATACTCATCAAAAATCTTTTCTTCATTAAAATCAATGTACTTTCTACTAAAAAAACAGCTGGCATAGTAAGCATTTAAAAATCACATTACTTCCCTAAAGATGGTCTTTTTCTTTCTTTTTTTTTTAACTTTTTAAACAGAGACAGGGTCTTGCTCTTGCTCAGGCTGATCCTGAACTCCTGACCTCAAGCAATCCTCCCGCCTCAGCCTCCTAAGAGAATCTAAGGGTTCCTTCCATGTGACTACTTCAGAAAAATTTTGATTTAAAAATTACTTAATCACACCTAAAACATAATTTTCTTAATGAATTTAGTTACAGACATTAGTCATTCATTCATTGGCTTCTTGGCTAAATCTTCCAATGTGTACTTTTGAGGCATACACAAACATTTCACATATAATTAAGTTTTTAAAAACAATATATTTCTGATATTATATTTATTAATAAGTTTATATAATTACAAACAAGTCAGCAAACAGGAAAGAGAACCTTACCATTACTTGTTGTTTTAATTGATGTAGTTCGAGTTTTATTTTCTAAAAACACATTAAAAAAACAAGAATATGTTTAGAAAGTTAAAAGAACAATACAGAACTTGGTAATCAACTAATATTACAACATCTATTTATGCACAAGTTCAAGTTCTTTCCTCATTCAATACAACCTGACTACATTCAGAACACAGTATTAATTGAACAGCGGTAGTATAATACATGTCTGTATCTTGAAATCAGTTTTAATTCATCTTGAAGATTACATAAAATTAGTAACACAATTGTTTTTAACATACACATCTGCAGGGTCACTGAGGAATGACCCTGCTTTTTTGACTGCTTCCTTTGATTTTTTTTTAACTAATTTTGCTCTCAAAATAACTGATTTCAAACACAACTTGGAAAGTTTCAAATATTACCTTTTTGCTAGAAGGTTTCTGATGAGGCTAAGATCAACAGGCAATAAATGGCCTTCCCTTATGGGACTTAGAACCAAAAAAAAAAAAAGGAAGATGCATATGTAGACTGTACTTATTTAAATTCTGATCCCATATGCCTCAATTAAATGAAATGGGTTTTTTGCAGCAGAACTTGTTCATAGAAACTAAAAATTGGAAATATTCCTAATGTATAACACAGTAGAATGATATTGTATACTCATATAATACTATAAACAATGTAAAAAAAATCATCTATTGCTACAAGACACACTGCATGAATCCATCAAATAAAGTTCTAGAACAGGCAAAACCAGTCAACAGGCTATCAGCTAGGACAGGACTTCCTCTGTGGGAGGCGACAGAGGACAGGGTTATGAGCAGGTCTTCTGGGGCATTGGCAGCATTCTATTTCCTGATCTGACCAGATGGGTACACTTAGTGAAAAAAATGCCAAGATGTACACTGACATGAGCTCTTTTGTGTGTGTGTGTATTGTATCTCAAAGGCTAATTAGAACAAATTTTATAAGTTTGAGTAGCTCTGTAGTTTTACCTCATTTTCTGCTCTGAGGGCTGAAAATTCACTCTTCTCCAAAATAATCATATCCTTTTTCACATTAGCAATCTGAGACATTATTTGCTGAAGAGTGATCTCCTAGGAAAGAAAAAACAAAACATATAATCTAGTCTATCCCGGGAAGCCTTCCTCCTATCATCTCTACCTTGCATCATCTTACGGATAAACTAGAGGGATACAGACAAGGGGAAAGGTTCAGTAAGATCATCCTCTCTTCCTAAATGAGAAAAGGAAAAGAATAAAAACACACCTCTGGTGTCGTGATCAAGTGAACCATAGTTATTAATAAAAGGGTGGCAGTCTGAGGACTCAAAAACATGATGCTCTAATATTAATACTATAATTCTGGCCACATCTCCATTTTTTAAAAGATGTTTGACTGGAATGGTCCATTTTCAAGCATAGTGAGCTTTTAAGCATAATGATTCTACAATAGTTGACTAAATAGCTTTGAATAAAAATTTTTTATGCCACAGTAATTTTTTGCCTCTCAACTGTGGTTAAAATTACTATTAACTTTTCAAACAAATATTATCCAAAAAATTACATTAATACATTACTACAAGCAATCTCCCACCACCTTTAGACTTCTAATTTGCTAAACCAACAGACAAAGCTAACCTGCTGCATCTTGGTGACCATGTCTTTGTAGACGATATCCATGTTGGCCTCCATGATCTTGACCAATGCAGATACAATGATTTCTGCTTGTTGAGTAGTAAACCCTAAGCAAGCATACAAACAAAATCAAATATACTCGGAAGAACTCCAAAACTCCACAGCAAACCTATACATTCACGTGAGTGTCTGAATGCAGATACAAGGGAAAGCACAGTGTGGTAGGAGGAGGGTGAGGAGACTAGAGCCACAGGCCATGATGTGTCTGTCACTTTGAGCAAGTATGAGACATCTGAACCTGCTTCCCCATATAAAATGAGCTGGTTGGGCCCAGCTATCAAAAAGCATATTTTCAGAGAATGCTTAATGACAAAGGGAATGTCTGCAATTCAACGTTAAGTGAAAAAAAAAAAAAAAAGAATCAAAATTATAGATGAAATTATTGTTTTTGTAATTTAACAAAGATTCACAATAATTTTTATTTTCTTCTTTATACTTCTCTTTGTTGTATACATTTTCTATAGTGGATCATATTTATTTAATTTTAAAATGCATATGTTATTTAAAAATGATTTACTTAAATAGGAGAGCTCAATTATTTTATATCTAGCATAAATCAGTCAAATCACTGACTATATAAATAGTAATCTGTTAGTTAACTAATTTAATGTTAAAAGACAAAATAAGTTCTTTCATCTTTCCTCCACAATTCTCTTCAGTAATTAGTGTGGTGGGGACAAACTGGAAAAAATATGAACTTTGACACTCAATAAATGATGGTGAATTGAAGTCAGAGATTCAACTCAGCAATGTTATTGTTTTTAATAACTTTGGTTAGTAACTTGTATTTCACATATGAAATTCTAATACAATGCCTAAAACTGAGTGCTTCGAAAGTGATTCTATAAATGCTTCCATCTGTAAGAACTTCAGAAGAATCTATCGATTCTTGTAATTAATCGTGTGTTTTTTTAATAAAGTAAAATTAATACAATTTGTTTGGATGAGATGAAGCATGGGACTATAATTAACAAAAACCCAAAGATTTAAAGAAGAAGAAAATAACCTCCAAAGACGTACTCCCATCACTTCATTAAAAATGCTTTAATTTTTCAACATGTGTACCATGCACATCTAGAAAAAAACACCCAAAAAGTCACCCACCAACATTTTAACATTGTTTAGCTCTGGGGTATTGGGGCTCTGAGTTTTTCTGTTTTCTTTTTTTTCTGCCTTCCTCATTTTTTGAAAATACACATCTTTTACAAATTTAAAACCTTACTAAGAAGAGTTCATGGTTAAACATAAATTAGGTTTGGCAAATATGAGAAGAAAAATAGAGACTGAAAGAGAACTTAAAACCACCTGTGAGAGGAGAAATAAGAAAAAGCAGGCATTAAGCCTGAAGCCCTACTGAGTTATGAAACACCAATTAATTTTTTATAGAAATGAGAGAATTGGATAAGCCAGTGTTAGTGAAATTACAGAGATGTAGGAAGTTTTATTGATCAAGAGACAGAGCTCTGGGTAAAGAAATGGTGGACAGTCCTTCCTGGCCTCATGCTAAGCTGGTCATCTCAGATACCCATGGTTCATCCACACCAGGGTGAGTAGCTCCTCCCCAGTTACTGTGATGTGGTCCTCATATCCCGGGTCTTGAAGGATGCAATCATCCATGGGTCAAGTTTTTTTGTTTTTTTTGAGAAAGAGTCGGACTCTGTTGCCTGGGCTACAGTGCCGGGGCGTCAGCCTAGCTCACAGCAACCTCAAACTCCTGGGCTCAAGTGATCCTTCTGCCTCAGCCTCCTAAGTACCCGGGACTACAGGCATGTACCACTATGCCTGACTAATTTTTTCTATATATCTTTAGTAGGCCGATTAATTTCTTTCTATTTTTAGTAGAGACGGCGTCTGGCTCTTGCTCAGGCTGGTCTCGAACCCCTGAGCTCAAATGATCTGCCCGCCTTGGCCTCCCAGAGTGCTAGGATTACAGGCGTCGTGAGCCACCACGCCCGGCCATGGGTCAAGTTTTGAAATCAAGAAAAATTGGCAGACTTCTGCTTATCAAGATAACGTTACGTGCCTCCCACCTCACTTCTACTTTTCTCTTTTAAACTCTGAACTGAAAGAAGTTTTTGTGAAAAAAGCCTAGTTTTTCAGGTTTGACAAGAAAATTATTACACAGCATTTGACAGTTTTTCCAAAGTGCACTCATGCACATTTCATTTAACATTCAAAAGGATCTTTGGAATTCTTATTATACCCATGCTACAGATGAGCAAATAGAAACTGAGAAAGGGAAAGGGTTTTTCCTAAGCTACACGACTAGAAGTTGGCCGAGTTAGGCTTGAACCCAGAGCTCTAACCCCCTACAAAAGCACTGAATAATTCTTTCCATCACTTTGTCTTAGGCATACAAGGCACACCTACAGAGGACAGCTTTTCTGATATGAATATGTACAACTGGACAAACACACAATGAAATAAAAACATAGGTACATTTATTTCAAAAGCATAATCTACACTAATTTGAAATTCTGATATTGAGAATCTGTCACAGAATAGAGAATTATAATTGGTGTATTTGTCTAAATATGATTATGTATGAGAATGTTCCCTACATTCTAAGTGCACTCTGAATGAATGCCACATTTACCAGAGCAATCTTTTACATTAATTAACTCAACACGATAAGGGAGAATGTTAGCCTGATTATTAAAAAGAAAAAGAACACAGTAAATTGAAATTATCAAGAATTGCCACTGAGCAACATTTCAATTTCACAAGATTTTAAAAAGCACACAAGATGCACAGCAATAAAACTATCACTTCTATGCTTCAGACACAGCTGTCATAGGAATTATTCCTTAGCTTTGGTGATTTATGTCTAAAATTTTTTTTTTTTTTTTTTTTTTTTGAGACAGAGTCTCACTCTGTTGCCCAGGCTAGAGTGCCGTGGCGTCAGCCTAGCTCACAGCAACCTCACACTCCTGGGCTCAAGCAATCCTCCTGCCTCAGCCTCCCAAGTAGCTGGGACTACAGGCATGCGCCACCATGCCCGGCTAATTTTTTCTATATATTTTTAGTTGTCCAGCTAATTTCTTTCTGTTTTTAGTAGAGACGGGATCTCGCTCTTGCTCAGGCTGGTCCTGAACTCCAGATCTCGAGTGATCCACCCGCCTTGGCCTCCCAGAGTGCTAGGATTATAGGCATAAGCCACTGTGTCCAGCCTTGTGTCTAATTTTTTATCTATAACACTATACTACCATGGTGATGTTATAAAAATATACTTCACTTGGACAGAGTGTAAGATAAGTCTCCATTGCAATCATAAGCAAAAATATCCTTAAATAATGAGGGCTTAAAAAATGGAGACTGACTAAAAGATTGCCTTAAAAGTCAAAGAAACATGAGAAATCAAATGAAACCATAAGAGAAGTCATAGTTTATAGTGTTTTCTAAGGTACTGAGTGACCAATGAGAGAGGATTACCATTTTCTTCAAGTAAGCACACTAAGGCATGGGTGTCAAAGTAGAGCTTCCTACTCCCAGAAGAGGTGAAGTCTCTCCTTTTGCGCTCCAGCTGCAGGTACCCAGCAGACAAGCTTAGCTCTGGGATGGAAAGAAGAGTTCAAAACAGACAATGCTAAACCAAAGCAACTTGGCACCATGAGGAAATAAGGCAAACCCCAAAAGCCTATGTGGCATTTTGTAACAGCTTCATTCAGACAGAATTCACATATTGTACAATTCGTTTGTTTTTGGTATGTTTAGAGTTGTACAACCATTCCACAATCAAACTTAGGACATTTTCCATCACCCCCCAAAACAAACTGTACCCATCAGCTGTCATCTTCCAATTCCCCCAGCCGTACCCCAATCCCCTCACCCACACCCAAGGCAATCACTAATCTATTTTCTGTCTCTACTGTTTGCCTACTCTGAAGATTTCATATATATGGAATTATACAGTATGTGATTTTTTGTGATTGGTTTCTGTCACTTAGCATAATGTTTTTAAGGGTCATCCATGTTGTAGCTGCGTCAGAACTTTATTTCTTTATATTTCTGAATAATACTCCATTGTATAGCTATACCAAATTTTGTTTAACTATTTATCATTGAAGTACGGTTGGGTTGTTTCTATTGCTTAGCTATCATGAATAATTGAGTAGACACAATTTTTTTTTTTATTTTTTAATTGTTGTGCAGGCCTGAGAGCCTCTTCTATTGTTATCAAGGGGCATGCTAACCTTCTCTCCTTTCATACAACACTAATGTTTTCAATTCTCTTGAATATATACGTAGGAATGAGATTGCTGGATCACGTGGTAATCCTATGTTTAATTGTTTCAGGAACCGCCAGACTGTTTTCCAAAGCAGCTACACCATTTCACATTCCCATTAGCAGTGTATTAGGGTTCCAATTTCTCCATATCCATGTCAACACTTGTGATTATCTGGGCTTTTAAAAAATTGTAATCATCTGAGTGTGTGTGAAGTGGTATCTCATCGTGGTTTTGATTAGCATTTCCTTGCTGCCTAATGATTTTGAGCATCCTTTCATGGGCTTATTGGCAATTTGTGTACCTTCTTTGGAGAAATCTCTATTCAAGTCTGCTATGGTTTGGATGTGTCCCCCAAAATCCATGTGTTAGAAAATCCCCAATGCAACAGTGTTGAGAGGTGGGACCTTTAAGAGGTGATTAGGTCATGAGGGCTGTGCCCTGGGGAAAGGATTCATGCTGTTCTCTTGCTAGTGCATTAGTTATCAGGGGAGTGAGATTTCTGATAAAAGAATGAGTTCACTGCCCCCCCCCCTTTCCTTTCTCCTTCTGCCATGGGATAATGCAGTAAGAATTCTTTGGCTAGATACAGGTCCCTTGATCTTGGATCTTCCAGCCTCCAGAACTGTAAGAAATAAATTCCTTTATAAATTACAAACCTGTGGTATTCTGATACAGTAGCACAAAGTCCTTTTGCCCATTTTTAACTGGGCTGTCTTTTTTTACTGAGCTGTAAGAGTTCTTTACCTATTCTAGATACAAGTTCCTTATCGGATTAGAATTTGAAATATTTTCTCCTGTTCTCTGGTCTTTTCTCTTTTTGATAGTGTCCTTTGAAACACAAAAGTTTAATTTTGATGAAGTCCAACGGATCTGTTTTTTTGTTGCTCATTCTTTTGATATCATATGTAAGAAACCACTGGCTAATTCAAGTACACGAAGATTTATACCTATGTTTTCTTCTAAGAGTTTTACAGTGTTAGCTCTTACATTTAGGTCTTTGATCCATCTTTAGTTCATTTTTTGTATATGGTATGTGGCAGTGGGTTCAGCTTCATTTACATGTGTATGTCCAAATGTACCATCTTCTCCACTGAATTGTCTTGTCACCTTTGTTGAAAACCAACATACTCTAAGTGTGAGGGTTTATCTCTGGGATTTTTTAAGATTTTCTACATACAGGTCAAATCACCTGAGAATGACAGTTTTGTTTCTTCCTTTCTAATCTGGATGATTTTTATCTCATTTTCTTGCCTAACCACTTTGGCTAGGACTTCCAATACAATGTTGGATAGAATAGCAAGAGCAGACATTCTTTTCTTATTCCTGATGTTAGGGGGAAATGATCCAATCTATCTCCACTAAATATGAAATTAGCTGTGGGTTTTCACAGATGCTCTTTATCAGGTTAAGTTCTCTTCTATTTCTACTTTGAAGTTTGTTTTTTTTTAAATCATGAAGGGGTGTTGAATTTTGACAGATGCTCTGAATTTGTTGAGATGATCATGCGGGTTTTGATCTTTCTTCTATTAATATGGTATATTACATGAATTGATTTTCAGATGTTAAATGAACTTGACATTCCTGGGATAAATTCCACTTTGTCGTGGTACATAATATTTTTTATATGTTGCTGAATTTGGTTTGCTAATATTCTGTTGAGATATTAGCCTACGCAGGGGTCCTCAAACTTTTTAAACAGGGGGCCAGTTCACTGTCCCTCAGACCGTTGGAGGGCTGGACTATAGTTTTAAAAAAACTATGAACAAATTCCTATGTACACTGCACATATCTTATTTTGAAGTAAAAAAACAAACGGGCAAAAACACCTGCATGTGGCCTGTGGGCCATAGTTTGAGGATGCCTGGCCTACAGTATTCTTTTCTTGTGAAGGCTTTGCAAAAGCCTACCTTTAGAGACATGTGTTCTAACAATCTTTACATTAACTTTTCTATGAATTTTTGTGCATTTACCACAGATTCAACCCATTCTGTAAAATTCTTGTTTCAAGGCAGTCATTCGAGTGAGGCAGTACAGTATATATGGTATGCCTACCTTTTGGATTTCATGAACTACTAAAACAGTTTTTTTAAAAACTGGAACAGTATTTGGGTTGCCAATTTTTAGTTTTATCAAGAAAGGACATTTAAACCTAACTATTTACGATTTCATATTACCATCATATTAAAGACATTTTGCTACCAAAGAGGAAAATAAAAAGGTTGGACAATCTAAAGAAACTTCATTCAAATTTAATAAACTTAGCTATGTGAACATCTTGTTACATATTTGCCGTTACTTTTCTGAATTTGCCATGAACTGGCACCAGTCTGAGGTCACGTGTTGGAGAAGAGTGGTAGGAGAGAGAAGAGCCATCGATTAACTCAAAGATCAAAGGTTTTCTCAGCAGGCCTCCTGAATGACCAGAAAGATGTTTCAGCTAATCAGCTACCACTCTCAATCCTTCACCCCAAACACTTTTATTTATTTATTTATTGAGACATGTCTCACTCTGTGGTTGGGGCTAGAGTGCAGTGGTGACATCATAGCTCACTGCATCCTCAAGCTCTTGAGCTCAAGTGATCCTCCTGCCTCAGTCTCCCAGGGAGCTGGGACCACAAGCACTCCATGATGACCGGCTAATTTTTCTGTGTTTTTTTTGTAGAGACCAGGTCTCACTATGTTGCTCAGGTTGTTCTCAAACTCCTGGCCTTAAGTGATCCTCCCACCTCGGCCTCCCAAAGTGCTAGGATTACAGGCTCAAGCCATAGTGCCTGCCCCCTAAACACTTGAAAAGAAAATTGCAAGTAAGCCATAATGTGATATGGACTGGACTCTGATGCTTCAATACAGTCCACAGCACTCATTCCCAACCTGCTTGAAGCTTGGGAAGAAGGTAGTTGTGGTCATTGTAAGCATTAAGACAAATGCAAGAGATGCAATAATCCATATTTTATCAAGCACTGTTTGCAGACTGACAAAATATAAAATGTAATGACTTGTGGGTTTGTGTGTATACGTGTTTGATGGCAAACATGGGCCCTTAGATTCAAAGAACACTGGCCTATAGTATAACGTCCTTGACCAGGCATATAAAGCTCTTGCTATTTTAGCCACGTTATCCTTTGAGCTTTCTTTCTAGCCACCTAAGCTATTCTATTTCTTGCACTTGCATGTCTTAAGCATGGCTCGGTATCCTTCCCAATTGTGAAATTGTAAACCTTCTTTTTTATCCCTCAATTAGTTGATAATTTCCTAAGTATACATTATATTCCAGGCATGGCATTTCATTATACTTTATGGTTCTCTCAGTTACTTCCACCCATGTAAGGGAACAATCTTTACTGCTCCCTTACCTGTGTTCTCAGCTCAGTCTTAGCACTTATTACATTATTTCCTCATCTGTATCACCTATTTTTCCAAACTGCCCAACAGAAGCCAGCCTTATTCATTTTTATGTTTAGAATCTAGTAGAGGACCTGGCATACAGCAGCAGGCTAGGAATAATTGTTTTAAAAAATTAAATTGTAATGACTTCTAAGATCTAGATTATGAGACTGCCTAGAAGAAAAATTTGATATCAACTCCTCTCTCCTCTTCACCTTAGTTCTTTCCTTTTCACATTAATGAGCTCACTTAAATCTGGTACCTCTTTTTTCACCATTTATTCCCAGTTCTGGAACCAAAACTGGCCTGCATAAGAAGAGACCCAGCATGTCTGCCCAACACAGAACAGACAGCTCAAGAAACAGTGGTGAGTGAATGAATGAGTGAAAGCATTTTTCAAGGAGTCCTCTAAGACCACCTAACCCATCTTAGAACCCTGCTGGACTGTCCCATGGGTCAGGGGGCTTGAAACCATTTGAGCCTGGAATGGCTTGTAAAGAGTGTCAGGGTTATTTTGGTCCCAAATTCCTTGTTTCTAGCAACAAAATAACCATTTATGTGATTTAAAACTGTGGTCCCCAAGTCCTGGGCTGTGGACTGGTACTGGTCTAGGGTCTGTTAGGAACCAGGCTGCACGACAGGAGGTGAGTGGCAGGGAGTGAGAAAAGCTTCATTTGTATTTGCAGCCACTCCCCATAGCTCATCACTGCCTGAGCTCTGCCTCCTGTCAGGTCAGCCATGGCATTAGATTCTCATAGGAACATGAACTCTACTATGATCTGCGCATGCCAGGGATCTAGGTTGCACGCTTCTTATAAGTATCTAATGCGTGATGATCTGAGGTGGAGCTGAGGAGGTGGTGACCCTAGTGCTGGGGAGCGGCTGCAAATGTCATAAATGTAATGTGCTTGGATCATCCCGAAAACATCACCCTCCAAATCTGTGGAAAAACCGTCTCCCATAAAACTGGTCCCTCATGCCAAAAAGCTTGGGGACCACTGATTTAAAACATAAACCACCTCTGTACCCCTACCCACACACACACATATACAAAACAAAACAAATCCATGATTACTTTCATAAGCAAGAGCTAATGCCAATTTGGACACTACAGATGTTTTCAAAATGACTGGAACCAGAAATAGCAAGTTTATTTCAAAGAAATATTGCCTTCTGAAAAGTGGAGAAAAGGGCTGGACACTTTCCACTCCAACCCCTGCTGTGGGAAAGAAATGCTATCTTGCTTCCTGTCAAAGGGCAATACCTGAGGACGCAGCAAATTCCCTGAATTCCCACTGGCAGTCAGGAAACAAGTAAACTGAGCTATGTTAACATGTAATATGTAATTCACCTTTTAGGGGACCTCCAGCATATCAAAAGGATATTAAAAACCCACAATTACAATAGAGGCCCAAAGTTTGCCTTAGACAGATGAGGAAGCCAAATAAAAATTTCATATTCATAACTTCCTTAAGTAGTTGTACTGAATATCTCGGTCACCAAACAAACTGGCCAGACAGCATACACAACGGTGCTCTCCTAAGCTTATAAATATGAACTTTTACCATATCTGTTCTATGTTTATTTATGTTTAGCACATTAACTGCCACTGAGTTGTATTTAACTCAGGATAGTTTTGAGCCCAGGGCCTCATGAAGCAAAATCCTGCAGTTGGTTAGGGAAAATCTTACTTGTTGATGTTCTTATTGTTACAATTAATATTGACAAATTAATTCTAAAAACGTGGATTAAATGAATAGAAGTCAATAAATTTTGTTTTTCATTAAATTAGAAAGGAATATTTTGTTTTCGAAGTTTTTATTCTATTTTCATAATTAAACAACCATGGCCCCAAAGAAGAAAATCTTTTTTCTAGTGCGGCAGTCAATGTGTTAGATACACAAATACTTCTCATTGTGTTACAACTGCCTACAGTATTCAGCACAGTAACATGCCGTGCAGGTTTGCAGCCTAGGAGCAACGGGCTATAGATACACCACACAGCCTAGGTAGACTATACCATCCAGGTTTGTGTAAGTACATTCTATGAGGTTCGCCAAAGAAGAAATCGCCTAATGACACATTTCTCAGTAAGCACCTGTCCTCAGGGAATGCGTGACTTGACTATACTGAGTTAAACGCTACCTTCTCAGTGAAACCTATTCTGATCACTATTTAAATTCACAAGTGGAGGCCCACTCCACTTCTCAACCTTTACCCCCTGTATTTTCTCCTATAGCATTTATTCAAACTATGGATATGTAAAGAGTACATATGCATATATAAATTATATATACATAAATTACACATACACACACACATTTACTGCGTTTCCTCTGCTAGAATTCAGGTCCAGAGGAAATGATCTTGCTGGTCAATATACCCCACACACCTAGCAAAGTGCCAGGCACAGGGTAGGCGCCAGTGCTCCATGAATGAATGAATGAATGCGTTAAGAGTTTGCAATCAAATTGTAATTACACTCCCTGCACTTTCCAGAGCTTCGCGCCTCAAATCTGCAGGCGTCCTGCCCGCCCCTCTGTCACCCCTCCGCCCGCGCTGCCAACAGGCGCGGCAGCTGGCGCCCAGCTGCAGACACTCAACGCGGGCGTGCACCGCCGCGCCGCCCCGCCCCGCCCCGCCACCGTTAGGTTTTGGCGCCGGGACGCTTGCGCCTGGGATCGGCAGGAGCTCGTCTCTGACAGGCTGGCGAAGCCCGGCCACCGCGGCCCCGAAGGCGGGCCCACACCTTCGCCCCCGGCGCCCGGAAGACGCGCTGACCTCGGCTGACTCGCCCAGCTGGACGCAGTTGACCTCGGCGGACTCGCCCCGCGGGTCGCCCGGCCTGCCCTCTGCGCGGCCACGCCCCCGCCAGCCCCGCCAGCCCCGCCGCCGGGTCCGCCGGGGCGACCCCCTTCTCCCCGCGCGGTCCTCACCTCTCCTGCAGAAAGCGAGGGCGGCCGCCGGGCCGTGGCACAGGTGAAGGGCGCCGGCGACGCCCGGGACGAGGCCCGCTGACCCCACGGCCGCTGCGCCCGGCCGGCGGGGCGGCGGGCGGGCGGGCGCCCAGTCCCGCGCGGCGCGCGGGGGCGGCCGCAGCCACCCCGGGGAGGGCACGAGCAGGAGAGGAGCAGCGGGAGGCACGTGACGCCGCGGCGGACCGCCGGGGCGCGGGGCGCAGCGCCCCACGGCCGACGGGGAGCGCGGAGAGAGCGCGGCGCGCCGAGGCCCCGCGGCCGCCCGGGCTTCCGTAGCGGCCGGCGGGCAGGAAGCACAGGAGCCGCCGGCGGCCCGGCGGGCGCTTTGGCCTCTCGCCTGCGACCGAGCCACAGTCCATCCCAGAGCCGGTCACTGGCCCGGGCGCGCGCTCATGGCGCTCGCGCGCGGCGCCGGTCACGCGCGGCCGCGGCCCAGAGTCCGACGGCGGGAGCGAGCGTGGCGGCGGCGCGGGCCCGCCTTTTCCTGCCGGGCGTGCGGGCGGGCGCGCCGGGGGCGGGACCGGCGGGCGGGCGCGCGCGCGGGGCCGGGGAGGGCTCGCTCCCGGCGGGTCCCCGCCAGCCGCGCGCCCCTCCTGGCTGCTAGGAGACGGCGAGGACCGGGAGGAGCCGGCGGGCCCTCCGCAACTGGACCGGGCCTGTTGCTGCCACTGTTTGCACATTGTTACCCTGCTGTCCTTAAAAAGGAATTCGTTACCCCGCGCCCTTCAGAGGCCTGTGGAAAGTCCCCAACCGCCAGGCTGCCCTGGCTTTGCTGATTAACTATCCTGCCCTAAGTCCCCCGAAGTGTGGCTTTGGGTGCATTTTAAGGAGTTATTTAAGGGACCGGCGCCTACATAGCCAATACGTTCAAAGGCTAAACTTTCAGAGTTTTTGCTTCCAGAGCAACATAGACAGAAGTTGCAATATGAGAACTTAAAACGTGGGGCATAGAAGCTAAAATGAGACCTGCTGGTATGCTGAAACTAGTATTTAGTTCAGTTAACTTTCTGAATGCCTATTGCACCAATCACAGTTACCGGTGCCGTGTTCGTTGAATAAATGAATGAAATGCATAAAGCACCAAGCTAGGTGAAAAAAAACAAAACGAAACCCAAATGAGATTGTTCTTGTCCTCCAGAAGTTGTTTTCCTGTACAGCCATATGTGTACACATACGTGATGGAAGAAAAATGTGTTATAAGCCGCGAGAGGTACAAAATGCTGAAAAGAGAGGAGAGTGCATACAGATGTGGAAGATATGAAAGCGTCTATCAAAATATAAAAACTTGGAAAGTAATGAGTTAGATACTTCTGTAAAAGGTTAATAGGAGTTTACACTTGTAAAACCGAAAGGAAAAGTAATTTAGCAATATGTATTAATATCGACAGCCTTTTATGTTCATAAGTTTTGCTGAAGTTACTCAAATCAGAAAACTTAACCAAAGGGAATAATCCAAAATATTAAAAATCTATTAGGTTGGACTATATGAACTTGTCATTTTATAGGTCAAACTGTTGAATAATGGTAATTTCATATGGATCAACCTAATATATGCACAAAGATATTTATTGTATTTGTGGGGTTTTTTTGTTTTGTTTTGTTTTTTTGAGATGGAGTCTTGCTCTGTCACCTGGGCTAGAGTGCCGTGCCCTCAGCCTAGCTTAGGAACCTCACACTCCTGGGCTCAAGTGATTTTCCTGCCTCAGCCTCCCAAGTAGCTGGGATTATGCACGCAGGCCACCACAGCTAATTTTTCTATTTTTAGTAGAGACAGGATATCACTCTTGCTCAGGCTAGCCTAGAACTCCTGACCTCAAGCTATCCTCCTGCCTCGACCTCCCAGAATGCTAGGATTACAGGCATGAGCCACTGTGCCTGGTCCTTGTATTTGTGATTGTGAAAAAGTAGAAAAAACTAATATCTAATATTAGAGAAATGGTTAAATAAACTGTCATGCAAACTTTGTTAGTCCTTTATAATTATTTTAAATTGAGGTATAATTTGCATATAATAAAATTCATAGAGCTTATGTGTTCAATTTGATGACATTTAGCAGCTGTGTACATCCCCTAAAAAAAGAGCTGGAACATTTCCATTGCTCCAGGAAGTTCCTTTCTGCCCCTTTCCAGTTTCCCAGACAATCAACCACCACCCCAAGAAGCCACAATGAACTATTTATCTGTTCTTGAACTTCATATAAATGGAACCCTACAATAAGCATTGCCTTGTGTCTAACTTACTTCTGGTTTGTGTCTGATTTCAATATAATATCTGTGAGATCACTCATGCTGTTGTTTCATTAATTAGTTATTTTTTATTGTTTTGTAGTATCCCATTGTCTGACCATACCACAATGTGGTATCTATTCTATTGATGGCCATTTGGTTTGCGTGTAGATTTTGGTTATTATGCATATTATGCATAAGACCTTGTGTGGACATATGTTTTTATCCCTCTTGGGAAAAATATCTGTCAAATTGCTGAATCATAATATAAATGTAGTTTACATTATAGATACTGCCAAATTGTTTTTCTAAAGTGATCACTCCCTTTTACTACAATAGATGAGAGTTTCACTTGTTCCAAATCCTTGCCAAATTTTGGTATTTTTAGTCCTTATGGAATGATATCTTATTGTGACTTGTTTTTTTTTTTTTTTTCTTTTTTTTTAGAGACAAGGTCTTTCTCTGACATCCAGGCTGGAGTGTTGTGGCTCAGTCATAGTTCACAGCAACCTCCAACTCCTGGGCTCAAGTGATCCTCCTGCCTCAGCCCCCAGAGTAGCTGGGACTACAGGTGTGTACCACCATGCCCAACTAATTTTTTTATTTTTTGTAGAGACAGGGTCTTACCATGTTTCCCAGGCTGGTCTCAAACTCGGGCCTCAAGCTGTCCTCTCACTTCGGCCTCCCAAAGTGCTGGGATTACATGTGTGAGCCACTGTACCTGGCTCATTGAGATTTTAATATACATTTCCCTGAAGCCTAATGATGTTGAGTAAGTTTTCATGTGTTATTATTATTGTCAGTACTGAATGCAGTAACATATGTAAAGTGCTTAGCACAGTGCCTGGCATATGGCAGGAGCATAATAAATGTCAGTTCTAACTATAGGTTTGATAATAGCCATTTTTCCTTGGATGTGGTGCCTGTTATTTTGCTTTCCAAAGCATTCCTTTTCTTTTGGTCTCAGCACCCCAGTTTTCCATAGGGAGCCACTCTTCATCCTCAGTACATGTGGTTGGGTGGGCTGATCTCTCCCCAGGCAACAAGCATGGATGTGTCACTCAATCACAGTCAATGAGCGTCAATTCTAGGGTTTTGGAGAAACTATTGGGAAAGAGGGAGTCTTATTTTATTGTGATGTCTATATATAGGATGATTTGAACCATGAGTCCCTGCGCTATCATGTGGCCTAAGACTAACACCATTATGGAGAAAAGCAGAGCTGAGAGATGAAATGTCTTGTGTGAGCTCCTGGTTCTAGCTTAGCCTGAAACTGGCATTTTTATTTATGTAAGACAATAAAATAATTTTGCTTAAACCAGCTATTAATAGAATAGGGTTTTTGTTTCTTATCCTAACTGATACAGAAGTCTAATGTACAGAGAGACCAGGTATGGGAATGTAATAAACAATGAAAATAATCTAATAAGCCAACGAAGTATCAACAAATTAATGGATCAGGCAGGAGCCAAATGATCGCCAGGGTTCAGGACTTTCTGACACAGTTGGATTAGAGAATATACTTGGACCTGGGGCCAAAGTGGGGCCCTCCTACTCTCTCTATGTCTAGATTTAGGAACCTTCCATGAACAGAGCTGGATAAACAGAGCAGACTCTGACTTACCCACTATCTTTGAGAAGTAGGTGGCCTCACATACCCTGGATGTCATCAGGAAAGAAGAGATAGAAGATGGCCAGAGCAGTCTCTGAAAGAAGCCCTGGGCCTGTCCTAGGTGTACTTGCCAGGTGGTAACAGAAAGCTCAAGGGCTAATTATCTCTGGTGCAAGCAGGTCAAAGAGACAACAAAGGAGTTGGAGCATGCCTAGATGTGACCTTTAGTATGCTGATCCCCTTACTAGGAATATCAGCTTCTACTAATCAAATTATGACTCTCCTTAATGGTAGAGTATTAAACGGTGAGAAAAGGATTCTTTCTGGTTCTGGGTAAGACACTGCATTCTGTTTTTCCACCTCAATGTAGCTATAAAAACTGGACAGAATGCACAGAGTAGCTATTTGAGGACTCTCAAAAATAAGTAGTAGCAGGCAGATTAGTGAAGAAGATAAAAATTCAAAGTACCACTGAAGTGATGTTGAGTTTACCAATTTTTCAACCTCTGGTGTTCCCCTAGCCTGAACTGTCAATGCTGAATTTTATACTCAGCAAAAATATTCAGTAATGAAGCTGAAATAAAGACATTCTTGGGTTAAGGAAAACTAAGACAATTAATTTGTTATTAGTAGACTTGCACTAAAAAAAAATTGCTAAAGTAAATTCACCATATAGAAGAAAAATGATACCAAAAGGAAACTTGGAACATAAGGAATGAAGGAAAAGCAACCATTTTTGGTAAATATCTAGGTAAATATAATAGAATATTCTCCTTTTTAGTTCATTAAAGTATGTTTAATGATGTAAAGCAAAAATTTTAATAATGTCTAATGGAGTTTTCAATGTTTATAGATGTAATATATAACAACTACAAAACACAAGTGCAAGGATAAAGAGACCTATGTGGTAGTGAGGTTTCCACATTGCACTTGAAGTGGTAAAATATTGATTCTAAGTAGATTTAGAAAACTTAAATGTCTATTGTAATCCCTAGAACAATCCATAGACATACACAAAGAGATATAATCAAAGCACATAATAGATAAAATGCAATACTAAAAAAAATGTTCAAATAACTCAAAAGGAGACAGGAAAGGAAAAATAGAAGAAAAATAAAGCAGAAGTAACAAACTGAAAGCAAAAAATAAAATAGTAGGCCTAAATCCAAACATATCAATAATTATATTAAGTGTAAATGGTCTAAACTAGGGGTTGATAAAGTCTTTAAAAAATTACTGTAGTAAATATTTTGGCTTTGTGAGCCACATCCAATCTCTATTACATATTCTTATGTTTCAGAAACAGGTGGTGAGCTGAATGTGGTCCATGAGCAATAGTTGGCCAATCTTTGGCCTCAAGACACCAATTAAAAGACAGAGATTGTTGAAATGGATTTAAGAAAAGAAAAGAAAGAAAGCATGATCTAATTATATTCTATCTACAATAAACTCACATCTATTATAATGAAATAGGTAGGTTAAAAGGGTGGGAAAAAGGGAATGCTCCTCCTTGGTACTTCCCCAGGAGGTGAAAGTCTTGATAAGAGTTCCTTCTAATATGTGCTAAGGTGAGA